ATTTCAATTTCAATTCGAGGCTCTTTCAGGGTCAGGAGAATGAGACTCATGATTGTTACTGGTTTTTGGCATATTGAATACGCCATGGGGAGTTTGCCAGACTCTGCCATGTGGGCAGGATACTTTTGGTAGCCTGCCAGTTTCTCTAGAGTAAGACCTAGACAATCAGATGTTGCACGGCCACAAATGTGGCCACGCACTTCCAGGAGCAGGGTTTTTTAGTCTTGGGGTCTTGGCTGTTGATGGCATTGCATGTGCCGGGGGCAGTTAGTAGGTGTAATGCCTGGAAGATGGGGGATCTGGGTGGAGGAGGCCCCAGTCCCAATCCAAGCAGGCTTGGAGATCTATGCCCCAGGTCGCTAACACCAGGGTTCCTCTGCCGGCTCCTTCATGTGTGAGGCTCGTCCAAAATTGTGGAGAGTGATCTTAAGCATGGTTGTGGCTGGAACCAGAGGTCTTCAGCTGCTGGGGCTCTTCTCGGGGTGGGGAGGGAAACTCAACCCACCCTCCTCCAAGGCGCCCCAGTGAGGACAGCCAGGCGCGGAGGCAGGAGACTCTGTGCTGTTCTCTTCCGGGAGCAGGGTTTTATATCTCTGGGTCTTGGCTGTTGATGGGATTACATGGTGCCGGGGGCAGTTGGTGGGTGTAAGGGACCCGGGTGATGTGAGGGACCTGGGGCGTAGATTGACAAGTATAGGGTGCAAAAATAGGTCAGGAGTTTAGCAAGTTCAGTAAGATTGCTTCATCTGTCAATTCCTCCTTTTAATCTAGTACAAATAAAAGGTTAGCAAAACCCTGTTATTAGCTGTAGTGACAGTATTTGATGATAAGAATTATCTGAATAATTATGACGTGATAGAATCATTTAAAAGTAAAAATCCAAGCATAGTAGAATCTGTTTACGCTAAAGTAGAGCATACCAAGATCTATTTGTAATTATCTGGAAACCCCCAAAAATTGAGCCCACAAAGAGTGTTTCATTTGTTAGGCAGGAAAAAGACAAAGCCCAGAGAATTTAGTTGCATTTAATCATTTAATTTTTCCCATAGTTTTATTCAGCTACTGTGATTTAAAATACTGTTAGAAGTATATCAGACTGTTAGAAGTATATTAGACATATAATGTCATAACGCCACACTTAACACCGATATTAGTGTCCCTTCACCATAGTCCTGTCACCATATTCTCTAGGTCCCCTTTCCTCCCATCCCTATACTCCCTTAGGGAACACAGTCCTCTAGGCCAACTTCCAGGTTCTGTTATAGATATTTATATATTTAATATCTTATACTATGTATACTCCACATAAGAAAGTGGTCATTCTCTATGGGCTCCTCTCCTTATCACTCACTTCACTCAGCATGATAACCTCCAACTAAATCCATGAAGCAGAAAATTGAAAGATTCACTCATCTTTTCTTATACCTGAAAGAATATATGTATATATATACATCACAATTTATTTATCCACTCATCTCTCTTCTTAGGAATTTGATATATTCTCAGACCCTGTCTTGTCTGGATATTGCTGAACCCAAAACAAGTATATTTTCTAATTATTGTTTTGGAAATCTTAGGGGTACATGCCAAGTAGAAACACTGGGTTATATGGAAGCTGAATTCTTAATTGTTTTAGAAATCTCTGTATTATTTTCCACAAAAGAAGGACTTTAGAGGACAGCCTCTCTACAGTGAATGAATCTTTCTTTTTTCCCTAATCTCTAATAGCACTAGGTATTTGTATTCTTTTTTATTTATACGATTCCCATTGGTGTGAAGTGCTATATCTCATTGTTGTTCGGCTTCACATTCTCAGATGACACATGAAGAGAAGCACTTTTTCTTATACTTGATGGCCATCCACATATATTCTTTTAGAAAGTTCTGTTTAGCTCCTGTTCCCAACTTTTGATGGAATTGTTAAATTTTGTGAGTTCTTTTATAAAGCTTAGATATTATGCTTTTGTCAGATGCTTGTTGTGTGGTATTTTCTCCCAGTCAGTAGGGGGTCCTTTTATTTTAATCATTGTTTATTTCACAGTAAAATGTTTCTCAATTCATTATAGTCTCATTTGTTTAATTTCGCTTCTATTTTCTTGGTTAAAAGCACAATAGCATTGAAGATGCCTCTAGAGTCAATATGGAGAGTTCTATTATGTTTCTTGTGTTGTATTTTATGGAGTTAGTCTAATATTGGGGTCTTTAAAAATATTTTAATGTAGACAAAATCCACAACTGTTGATACAGTTCCAGAGTTGAAATGGATTAGATAACAAATCTCCTATTTAAAATCAATAAATATAAAATCAATTTTAATGTGTAAATCATTGTTTCTAAACACAGGTTTGTTAAGTTCTTGTCTAAGAATTTCCCGAGCTGTTTGCTGCTAGTTGAGACATCTGTGTTATTAATATGTTTGTTGAGTTTTCTTGGTTTCTATGTTACTTTCTTATCTAATCTGGTGTGTTCCTGATGGAATTTCAATATTGAGAGATTAGTAGGAGTTTCAACCATTCCCTGCAGAGACTTCAGGACCTATGACCTGGGCTGATGAGTTGAAATGACAGTGACTGTGGGAGGTAGGTGTGGCTGCCTGGACTTCAAAATTACGAGAGTTTGGAGAGACTGCTAGTCCCCACTCCAAGAATTTTCAGCCTGAGCATGGGAATGCCTCAATTTAAGCATGGTTTGGTGTCTCTGCAGAGAGGTGTGGATGTGGTGGCTAGGTTTTTGACAGGTCTGACACTGAACCTGATACTGAACCTGATACTCAACTGGCCTGCCTCCCAAGGGCACCACTGTGTTTGTGAATTTTAAGTGCTTGGCTTGCATCTCCTTCGATATTTAGTCATAAATTTGTACAGCAGGGCTGCCGAGTAATTTAACATGGTGGCTCATTACTGAAGTCTTTAATCCATTTTGAATTAATTTTTTTATTTGGTATGAGATACGGATTGGGTAATTTTATTGCTATTGGCTCTCCTGTTTTCCCAGTATCATTTGTGAAAAGGCATTTCTTATTTCATTTTATGAAAGTAGTTACTTTGTCGAGGAGTAATTGTCCATTTATCTGAGGGTCTGCTTTGGGTTTCCAGTCACTTCCATTTGTATGAGAGGCTGCCATTTCCCCAATATTAATACAGTTTTGATTCTTATAACTTTCTGGATATAATTTAAAATAGAAAAGAGAAATGCTGAAAAATCTCTCATTTTCCCTTCCAGGATTGTTTTGGCAATTTAGGTAATTTATCACTTCTTATTAATTTGAGCAGTAATTGGTCAACATCCTTGAAAATGCCATGAGAACTTGGAGAGAGAAAGAGAGAGAGAGAGAGAGAGAGAGAGAGAGAGAGATCTGGGATTTTTCAGGCAGTCAGGAATGTGGTGCAATATAAAATATAAGGGTCCAAGAATCTGTAATGTCAAATATCACTCAGACTACCCCAGGAGAGTCTTCCAGGTCTGCACCTAACAACACACGTGCAGAAATAGCCAGGGTTGGCCACATGCGAGGCACTGACCTTAACCCCTCTATTATCTCAATAGCCCTGCTACTAAAAGTTTTACTAGGAACTATAATGAATCTGTATAATGCTTTGGCTAGCATGGTTAACTTTAATGGTGTTAATCCTTTCAATGCATTAGGAGACAATGTTTTTATTTCTTGTGTTTTCTATTTCCTTCAATAGTGATTCGTCTTTTTTTGTTGTTGTTATATCATATACCCTTTTTGTTAAGTTGATTCTCAGGTACTTGATGGGAGGGGGAAACACAATTGTGGGGACTATATGGGGACTGGAGAGTGAATCCATGTTAGCTGCATGCAAGGAATGAACCTGACCTGCTGTACTCTTTAGTTCCTCCAAAACAAATATATTGTTTAAAAAAAAAAACTAGTAGATTTTTGGTTCAATATCCAAAAACAGGCAGGTGTTCACTAAATAGAATGAGAAAATTAAAAGCAGCCCAACTGCAAAAAACGAAAAGTCTTTCGGAGTCACAAGTTTAATTTTTTTTAAATGATTTTACAATATTCTCAAGCTGTCAATGGAAAAAAAGTAGCTTGACATTGAACACATACCAAGTCAGTAGCATAACTATTTTATAATGTCTTATTGGTCATTGAAAAAAAGTTTAAAATTCAATCCATGTGATGGAAATGCTACTTAAAAAAATACACCATTCATAATCCAGAGCTACAGGAAAACTGTGGTTATAACAGTTACCATTTCATTCAGCAGCAGGATTCTTAAAGTATTACAAATGGAATGGTTCCTAGAATGCTGTGCACTGAGTTTTATTAATATAAGTTTTACAATCATAAAGTTCACCATTAGTAAGATGAAAAATATTATCATTTTTAATAAATATTGGCTAAAATTTTATAAATTAAATGAAGATTCTCAGTTTATTTTATAGAACCCATTTGGGAATATCCAGTTCATAAATCCACTTGGACGTTCATGCATTAATTTAACTTGAAATACTGAACTCTCATTCTTCTTATTTCTCTAATGGAAGAAGTTTTGCCTAGTTATTTGTCCAACTAACATTTATATGTTAAAAATTTTGAAGGTGGTTAGGGCAGCCTATGAAACCTATGAAAGTTTGAGAAATACAGGTAGCAGAATTATAGATTGCTTGTAATAGAATATTATTCCACTAAGAGTTTTTAATGTCATGAAACCAACTCCCCCTGTATTTTAAAAAAAGGAAAAAAATTAAGCCACAGGAAACTTTTAAAATTCAAAACCTGCCATGAAAAATTGTTATGAAAAATTAAAGAGCCTTCAGCCTTATTTATAATTAATATTTTATAATTTCACCTAGTTCAAGACAAATTTTGAAATATTTAAATTTTCGGCATTTGAATCTGTGCGATGATTTTAGCTAATTTGTCTATTTCAGAAACCAAACTCACTGGTTTTTATAATTATTTTCCTATCTGCTCCTTGGTCTTTTAATTGTTGATTAGCAGCAATAAAAATTAAAACAACACACAATTTTAATTTTTCAGGAATCATTTCTACAGTTGTTTGCTAGGGAAATTTTGCTGAATGTGCAGAGCAGCAGAAACCACTAGGAAAACATTTAACATCTTTCCCAGGTGTGATGGTGCCTCTGAGTATTGTTCTTTGCCATTGATGACCATGCATACATTGGGGGCAGAGAGGGAGGGAGTATGAAAAAGTAGGATGTAATCATAGTGGAATTTGCATTTTTTAAAAAGAAAGGTGAAAGCAACAAAGACAAATACAAAATTTGATCAGTCATAATCTGCATATTTTTGGTGACCAACTCTGAAAAACAATTTTATAATTGGTTGAAATGAATGGTTATAATACGAATGTTTGATATTTTTCTGGATTTTCAGGATCTTTTTCAGCCCTTTTGCCTACCATGTAACCAAATCAAGAAATAATCTGAAATGTACAGATGACTAAAGAAACTTTGGTACATCTACACAAGGGAGTACTATGTAGCTGTTAGAAAAGATGAAGTCATGAAATTTACATAAAAGTGGTACTACGTGGAAATTATCATGCTAAGTGAAATGAATCAGAAAGAGAGGGACAGACATAGAAAGATTGCATTCATCTGGGGAACATAAAGTAACAGAATAGGAGACTAAGACCCAAGAATAGCCGAGATAAGTACCAGGAGGTTTGCTCCATGGCTTGGAGGCCAGCCACACATGCTAGGGGAAAAGGCAGCTCAGATAGAGAAGGGAGTCAAATAAAGGGTATTGGGAGGATCCTCCCAGGATGGGAGATGCATGCTGAAAGTAGACCATAGACCGAACATTATTGCCACTCAATGCCTCTTTTGCAAACCACAGCACCCAAAAGGAGAGAGAACAAAAGGGAATGCCCTGCCAGAGAGGCAGTGCGGGATGGGGGCGGATGGGGTGGGGGGGGATACTGGGATCAGTGGTGGTGGAGAATGGGCACTGGTGGAAGGATGGGTACTCGATCATTGTATACCTGAAACCAAACACAAAAATTTATAAGTTTACAACTGCACCTCATGGTGTTTCACTAATAAAAATTAAAAAATAATTAATCTGAAATGTAATTGTTCAATTAAAACTCATTTATAGTTTGTTGTGCATTTCAATCTACTTTAATTTCTCTATTGATAACTACTAAAAACTCCTGTGGCATACTAGTAATTTCTCTAGTTTATAATATTTATGAGCTGTGAGCAGTAAAGTAGTCTTAGACTAGGAAAAAAAGATCCCTAATACTGCATTTGTCATAATTTAATTCATTTAATTCCTTAAAGGAAAAATAGTAATAAAATTTTTGTTTATGTGTGTTTATTTTTCTTTTGGGTCAGGGGGAACTTTGAGTCATACCTGATAATGGTGTTTAATTTTATAACAAGCTTTCAACTATTCAGAAACTGATTGTACCATTTTCCAATGAGTGAGAGTTCATATTTTTTCCATATTTTACCAGATATCAGCATTTGATATTGACAATGGTTTAGATTTTTGACATGTATAAAATGGTATTTCATTGTTGTCTTAATTTTCAATTCCCAATTGGCATATGCATGGGCTTCTTGACATCTGTATGTCTTCTTTAAATTGAATTTATTCTGTACTTGGCCCTTTCGCTCCTTCCTATCTCAAATCCCTTCCATGTCCTTATTATTTTTTTTACCATCTATGTAGTTTTCCATAGTTTTATCAATATATCTAAAGTAACCTAAATATTCTCTTGTTATCCTTTAGGATTGATATAGTTCTGTATTTTAAATTTAGTTTCTGTCATACACTTTGAGATTTTTTGGGGGGGGCTGATCTAACCCTGGGGTGTTCAGGAGTTTTTCCTTGCTCTGCACTCAGAAATTACTTCTGTTTATGCTCAGAGAACATACGGCATGCTGAGGATTGAACCTGCTTGGCCACATGCAAAGTAAATGCCCCAACCAATATATTATCTCTCAGACCCCCACTTTGAACTTATTTTTGAGAAGGATAAAATTTCTATGTCTAATGCTTTCATATGCAGATGTCAGTTGTATTGTGATTTTTGTCAGATTATTTGGGACAATTTTGAGTTTCCTTTTGTATTTACTTTTGAAATACATTGAAGAGTCAACTGTAGAAGTCAATAAAAATAATAACCTCAATATTTATAAAATTATAAAGGCATTGGATTAAGATACAGTACTTTCATAGAAATCAGAAAGAGCATTACAATAATTTTCTTATGAAAGTTGTAACTCATAGAGTTTTATTATTCTGGTTAATAGCAATGGTGACTTTACTATATTTGAGTAGTATTAGTAATTATTTATTAGATCATGCTTAAACCTGTCCCTTAAAAACATCTACTAGTAAATTAAAGGGTGTTCCATTAGTAATGATTAAAGAAAAAGCAAGGTACAGTAATCTTGAACATATTCAGAGAGACTCTAAGTCAAACAATTCAGGTATTTATCAAAGTGCAACCACTTCAAGCATCACCGTTAAAAATATTCTGAGTTATTGAGACTCATTTTATGTAGTAAAGTGTCCTTTAAATATGAAAAAATTACATTTACTATAAAAAGATTTGTTATGAAGAATTTTAAGAGTTGTCTGATATTTTAATACACCAAATATCTCTTTCTCAATGGACAAATAATACTCTTTTCACTGTATAGTCTTCAGACTACAGTCAAAGTTATGGTGAATTTGTGTGTACATATGCCTGTGGGCATTCACATGCTGTTTTTTATGGATATGGCTAGACTTTTGAGAACTGCATATTTATGTCTCTTCTAAAATCAAGCACAGATTGATGCTAAAAATGGTGAAATATATCCAGAGATGAGGAGAGCAGAAATCACTGACAAAATAACTTATGTGATATAGAAGAGATGTTTTACTATGTATGTAAAGGAGTTAAATTGGGTTTTCTTTACCATAGCTCCATGCACATATTATTTTAATGCCTTATCCTTTCTGACGACATAAAAGCACTGTTGATTTTCTTTTTTCTATCCTAGGTATATTTTAAAATAAGCATATTTCCTCTTACTCTTTCCTCTCAATCCTTGATCCGTTTTCCAATTCCCCAATGATTCCATGTCAACTTGCTCTGTTTTTGACTAGACAAATAGTACACAGATTTATTCATACAGAAACAATACCTGGTAAAATCATAGAGCGTCTCTTTGAATCATACCCAAAAGTTAACTTGCTCTTTCCACTAGCTAGAAATAACTCTCAGCAAATGAATCCACACACCCGTCAATAGAATATTACAGCCCCCTTAGGAAAACCTATGTGCTAAAGAAATTTGATATAGTGAACCAGTCTTTATAACACACACACACAAGTACACATGCACACATACACAAAAAGACAAAGATTACAAAATATAGTATATATTGAGAATAAGATTATGATCTGTGAAACTATTTTACTTGAGGTCATACCTTAATATTCCTTTCCTTTTTAAACCTGAGATTAAATTTATACGTAATAATGGATTGGTTCTAGATTTACTACAAGAAGTTTGATCTATCCATATGTTGCAAAATTATTTCCATTTTAAGTTTAGTTAGCACAGTACTGGTGTGATTTTTAACACAGAAATGACCACATGTTATTTCTTAAACATAGATTGGAAAGTTAGCAATGTGAAATTTATATTCTGTACATTTCATTTCAAAACTTTATTTCAGCATTTAAAAATCTTGTACTGTAAGTAGAAGGAAGTATTTTGTATTTCTGGAATCAATTGTAAATATTAATTTTGAAAATTTATTTAATAAAGTTAATTTCTAATTTTGTAGCAGACTCGGATTGAATGTGTATATAAAAAAAGTAATTGTAGCAACCCGGCAAGCTACTGAGAGTATCTCACCTTATTGGCAAAGCCTGGCAAGCTACCCGTGACATATTTGGTATGCCAAACACAGTAACTAGTGTCACAATGGAGATGTTACTGGGCCTGGTCAAGCAAAATCGATGAACAATGGGAGGACAGTGACAGTGACAGTGAAAACATTTTCTAAATAAAATTTGAATTTGTAAATAAAAAAATTCATTATTTTTTTGAGTAAAACATCTTAAAATTATTATATCATGAGTCTTGTGTCGATTATAGTTTTATACTAATATCTTGTTTTATACTCAGTAGCTCACATAATTTTGAAATTTTCTCTGAACATACTACGAGATGATTGTGTCTGCAAAACAAAGATAATTTTTTTCAAAATAAAAGTGGTGCATAATTGAATATTGAGATACAACATCAATTTGTATTAATTCAATTTAAATTTATTTGTATGTAAAGTAAAAGTAAAGGCCCTCCCGTTGATCGTCGATTTGCTCGAGCGGGCCCAGTAACGTCTCCATTGGAGACTTTGTTGTTACTGTGTTTGGCATATCGAATACTCTCGGTAGCTTGCCGGGCTCTCCGAGAGGGGCAGAGGAATCGAACTTGGGTCGGCCATGTTGGCCGCTTGTAAGGCAAACGCCCTACCCGCTGTGCTATTTGTATGTAAATGTCACTAAAATGAAGTTATATAGTCTTCGGATCGGGGAATATATACTAGGAGAATTCCAGATTATTCTTCCCCGTTACAATTTATTGTTTTGTATCTCACCATTTCAAATGATATATTTCCTAGAATATCTACAGATTTTCACGCAAACATCCAAGCCCACACTAACTGCAATACTTACATTGTGTTTCCTTTAAGTCTATGTATGTTTCTACTTCATCTAAATTTTAATTTGATCACACACCTCATTTCATATTAATTATAGGAGAAATGAAGTTTTTCTTGTATGTTTTTTAAAGGGCATGTGTAGGATAACACTCTTTTGTCCTTCCTCAGGTAGCTTAGGTTTGTCAGCTCACACCCACTAAGGACACTGAACTTGTATTGTAAGCAATGTCCTTTCTCTGTGGACACAGGAAGACAGTTAATATTATGCTTTGTAACTTGGGAGTTGATTGACTCCGAATCATATTTACTCCTGGGCATCTGATCTCTTGACTCAGTTGCCCTTAGTTCCTAGCACCCCAAAAGCAGGGTCCCGACGAGGGACTGAATGGACCCAGGGCAAGCAGTGAGCTACCCTGGCATTGAAATGGGCCAGGCCAAAGAGCCACGATACTCAACTATAAGTTGAGGGCATGATCATGGACAAATGCTGTCATGATCCAAAAGTAAGTAACGACGAGACTAGGACCCTGCTGGAG